GCACCCACCCACCTAGGCTGCGAGCTGCACCCACCCACCTAGGTTGTGTGCCGCACCCATCAACCTAGGCTGCGAGCCGCATCCACCAACCTAGGCTGCGAGCTGCACCCACCAACCAAGGCTGTGTGCCGCACCCAATAACCAAGGCTGTGTGCCGCACCCAACAACCGAAGCAGTGAACTACAAAAACAGATCAAGAAATTATAATTACAACAGAATGTGCAATATTTACTGCTAAAATAGCTTGGGTTGTGGTAGTTGGCCAAGAACTTTTGAACCTTCTTTGACATTATAATAATTGGCATTGTAAAGTAAATATCATCTCGACATAATTATACAGTTTTCAGGAATACAATAACTACAGAATCTCTTCTCACCTGTACATGTTTTTTCGTCCGTTGTCAAATGCCAGTCATCAGGACATGCACAGCTAAAACCAAGAGGGTTGGGTAAACATAAATAACTGCATCCTCCATAGGTTGGACCACAACCTATTATACCTGTTGGGATAAGTTTATAAAAATACAAATACTACCATCATCAAAGACTTACAAGGGTAGCTGATGTTGTAAGCAATGAAGTCACACAAAAGGTTACATGGTAACAAAATTGCAAGACAAACGAGTGAATATAAACAACATTTCTTTGATTCAATGAGAACGAAGTTTGCAAAAATAGCCAGGTCCATACTGAAAGTAATAATCAAGACAAGAAATAAACAAATGCACATTGAGGAGGTCTGTGAAAGAATCTGTTTAGTGTTAATCATGGGTTATTTTTGCTATGTTGTTGCATATTCAATGTATTTTGCATCTTTTGCATATAGCAAAACCTCACTTATTTTTAGATTCCCTAATCATACTTTTTTAAGTTATCAAGTACGTTTTGTGTTGTCCAATTGATTAGGAATTATTTTAACTGACATAATGTAAATCATATGAAATAACAATGTCCATCACGCGTCACCATACACTTTTCTGTCTTGCATTTTTAGAGCTACAGTGAAAATATCCTTCATTTTTTGCCAATAAAATATTATAATATACCTAGTAAGTGAGGAGTAATACAAGGCTGTTGCGAGGATACCGAAAAGTATGCACGAAAACAGTACAGCGAGAGTATCGACTGATGCGCAGTGGAGGTAGACACGATCGCATTCTCTCCAAGTGCATACGTTCCGGTATCCTTGTTATAACCTTATTATTATACATCTTTTCCTCAGAAGGATACATCAAGGAAATGCCAAAATCCAAAAAGTTTAGAACAGATTTAGTGAACTTCTTTGTGTGGCGTCCGGTCAAACCCTGGAGCAGCTATGTTTGTTTTTATTATTAGAGGACACTTGCACATGTAATCGTTCCATATTTGAAATTCGCATTTCCTTATAATGGTAGGATGCAAAAACCTAGTGCAATACCGCAAAATTACGACACACTGTTACTTATGGCGTTAAAGATACACATGTATAATAATAGTCTTTAATTTTAAAATGATTTTAAAAAGCCTTTTTATCAACCATAGACCAACTTTTTTGTTTAGGTTTAGATTTATAATTTATTCCCAAGTTTAAGTAAAACCTAGTTTACCAAATTTAAAGCGACAAAAACATTAGACAAATATCAACACAATGAGAGGTGGTTGGTTTTATACTTACCAGTTTGATCTGCTTGGTGCAATGATTGTAACCCAACAACAGAAATATCAATGACATCTTTTACATCAGATAACAAGACTTCAACATTATCTCCAGTTTTTTTATCAGCATACAAAATATTGCCTGAAAAATATTGAACAATATTAATACTTGCATTTTCATGTTATGAATGTGTGTGCTAATGTACTCAATGATATGTACTGGTCTGAGACAACATGAATACAATTGGTTCAAGCAGGTGGCAGAACAGCTTAATCAAGATGAAACTCCAGAATGCAAGTAACACTTAAATTAACAAGCAATGCATGGTGCAGACCCTGTTAGTTATCAAATGTAAAACATATAGTTTTGTTTTAGAGTAATATAGTTGGAACATAAACATGTCAGAGACATGGATCCAGAAGCTGATGCTCGACTATGATGATTGTTTAACATTAAAATGATTGACATCTTGTATCTGATTGGGTAATTTTCCATATTGAGAATTATTGCTCTGAAACAGCATTAATTAAAACAAAATGGCCACAAGTCGGCCATCTTGAATCAGATCGTGAAACAAATTGATGTGCATATGTTTAATATTATGTATGATGTATGTGTGAAGTTTGATTGGTCCAGGTATGTCTAAGATACAGGTCGCACACACGAACACACAAAGGTCAAAACAAGTCCCAATTTTCAAACTGGGACTAACAATTGGTGAATTACGCGACTATTA